CTGCCTATGACTCCAAAAACACCGTCGCCATCGTCAAATATGGATGTGAAAACATTATGCCTTGGGGTTTTTTTTCTGCCAAGGGGACAGGACAATTGCACCGCATCAAAGGGAGGATGGATGGGGCCATGTACCATCAAATCTTGGGTGAGAGCCTCCTTCCCTCAGTCAGGGCATTGAAAATGGGTCGTGGTTGGGTATTCCAGCATGACAATGATCCAAAACACACGGCCAAGGCAACAAAGGATTGGCTCAAGAAGAAGCATATTAAGGTCATGGAGTGGCCTAGTCAGTCTCCAGACCTTAATCCCATAGAAAATCTGTGGAGGGAGCTGAAGGTTCCAGTTGCCAAACATCATCCACGAAACATTAATGACTTGGAGAGGATCTGCAAAGAGGAGTGGGTCAAAATCCCCCCTGAGATGTGTGCAAACCTTGTGGCCAACTACAAGAAACGTCTGACCTCTGTGATTGCCAACAAAAGTTTTGCCACCAAGTACTAAAGCATGTTTTGCAAAGGGATCAAATACTTATTTCATTCATGAAAATGCAAATTACTTTTTTTTGTAATGCATTTTTCTGGATTTTTTTGTTATTGTTGTGTCTCTCACTGTTCACATAAACCTACCATTGAAATTGTAGACTGATCATTTCTTTGTTAGTGGGCAAACTTACAAAATCAGCTGGGGTTCAAATAATTTTTTCCCTGACTGTATCTACAGGGTATGAGCTATCTGCTGCTAAGTTAATCATCAAGTTAATCTGGAAGTGCTGATGAAATTATCTTATTGAGTCACAATACATAAACATACACTAAACCCATGAAAATCAACAGATAATATTCACTTGACATGACAAATCAGTAAGAACCAATCTAACAGTAATCAGCCACAACTGTACAGTGTAAGCTTTCACCACATCTAAATTTTGTCTAGTTAATATAACCAAACCATGTTATTTTATTTAATAAAAGTGTTTCACATCATCCAACTAACACTCATTCAGCAGTCACCAATCTACTAGAGCTTCCAACAAATTAACAACACAACATGGTACTGTATCAGTTAAATGAAAGTTTATGCAAATTAGATTTCAGCTGCCACAACAACAGCAAAAAAATTCAATTCAATTTAATAATGTATTGTCACTTTCATCATACACTTTGGGTATATATGGAAGCGAGAAACCGTTCTCCCTTCATCATAATGCTCAATACACATCATTCACACTCTATAACAGTCACCCTTTTAAAACAGAACAAAACAATCCACACATTAAAAATACAGTGAAAACAATCCTAAAAACACAATGAGCAATTGAAAACACAAGACAAATTAAAAGTCCAAAGCAGCATGAATATAGCGTAAAAAGTGCAAGATATATTTTATAAAGTGCAGATCTAAAAACCCTGATTGCAGTGTTAGGCAATTAGAATAAGTGCATGTGCATTTGTTCATCTCCTTTCAATCCCTGATGATAACCAAAGGAATGGAGGGCAACTTATGTAGTCTATTCATTTCCCTGAGGGCTCGAGGGAAGAAAATGAACAAAGAGGCTCAGGAGGTAGAGCGGGTCGTTTCCTAACCGGAGGATTAGCGATTCAATTCCCGGCTTGTCCAGTCAACATGTCGAGGTGTCCTTGAGCAAGACACTAAACCCCCAGTTGCTCCCGGTGATGTCACCGGTGTGTGAATGCGTGAGTGCTTGGGAGTGCGAATGGGTGAATGGCCGAATAATGTGTGAAAGCGCTTTGAGTGTGCTGTAAAAGCACAGAAAGGCGCTATACAAGTATAAGACCATTTACCATACTGTGTATGTTTTGCTGGGCGAACAACACCTACAGTCGGCACAATTTCCTTAAGATAGGACCATCTCCACAGCAATGACGCGAAGGCGTCACAATCTCCTTAAGATAGGACCATCTCCACGGCAAGGACACGAAGGTGGCACAGGGAGAGGAAGCAGAAGCGAGGCTGCAGGGCCAGAGCATTAGCTAGGCTACAGAGGCAGCCACATAGACCACCGCTTCCCAGGCTTTTTCTGACGAACGCCAGAGCATTTGTTAGTTAGATGGATGATTTGAGGCTACACGCGACATGATGAAGGACAGTTGCATTCTGCTGATCACAGAGACCTGGCTTCATCCAAACATTCCGGACTCTGCTATCAAGTTAGCAGACTACACAGTACAGTGCCATGATAGGACAAGGGACTCCAGTAAGAGCAAAGGAGGGGGACTATGTATTTAGGTCAATAACAACTGGTGTACGAACACTGTGACTGTAGACAGTCATTGCTCCCCAGACTTGGAGTATGTCACTGTCAAATGCAGGCCCATGTACCTCCCAAGAGAGTACAATGTGGTGTTCAAAACAAATGTGTACTTACTTCCCGATGCTAATGCTAACTCGGGTATCAGACATTTATATGGCAGTTTTAGCAGATATCCTGATGCTGTGCACATACTAGCAGGGGACTTAAATCATGCAGAGGAACTAACACACTGGACAAGGTTTATTCAAATATCAAGATAGGCTATACCACAACCACACCTGGGCTAGTCTGACCACTTGTGCCTGTTTCTAATTCCTGCATATGCCTCCCTCGGAAAAACTGCTCCTATTATCAAGGACTGTAAAAACTTGGCCTGATGGTGCCTCTCAGCAGCTACAAGACTGTCTTGATAGGACCAACTGGGATGTTTTTGAACATCTAGACCCAGAGATGTTCACAGACAGTGTCTTGTGTTAAAGACAACTGCATAGACATTGTTACCATGGACAAACGCATCAGGGTCTATCCCAACCAGAAGCCCTGGATGAACTAGGAGGTCAAGGGGCTACTGAGAGAGAGGAACACTGCCTTCAGGACAGGCAACAGGATTCTTTACAGCGCGGCCCAAGCTAACCTGAAGAGAGGAATCAGAAAGGCCAAATTGGACGACAGGAGGAGGAACAAAAACCACCTGGACAGCAAAAACAGCAGGCAGGTGTGGCAGGGAGTCCAGCATCTCACCAACTACAGGAATAATCTCGGTGTGGCTGAAGGTGACGCCTCTCTGGCAGAGGAGCTGAACCTCTTTTTTGCCCGCTTTGAGGGGCAGCAACCAGACACAGGCAGACTTCACCCTGCGGCCCACAGCGGTCCGACCCACTCAGTAGGGGAACATGAGGTGAGGCACATGCTGCAGGCCAGAAAAAACCTGTCATTCCTCCCAACAAACATCTGACCCACAACAGTTTGCATACAGGGCAAATAGATCCACAGAGGATGCTGTAGCCACAGCCCTCTACGCTGTGCTGTCCCACATCAGGAGAGCTGTGCATGACTGCTTTTTGTGGATTATAGCTCTGCATTCAACACCATCCTCCCCCACAAACTGGTGGATAAGCTGGTGGACCTGAGAATTCCATATCCCACCTGCACATGGATTAAAAGCTTCCTGTCTGGACGCAGCCAGAGGGTGAGAGTGGGCCCACACATCCATGGCTCTCAGCCTCAGCACTGGTTCACCACAAGGCTGTGTGCTGAGCCCACTGCTCTACACCCTGTACACCCACAACTGCACCCCTGCCCACCTCGGCAACACCATTGTAAAATTTGCTGATGACACCACGGTGGTGGGGTTTATCTCTGGGGAGGAAGAGACTGCCTACAAGGATGAGGTGGAGAGGCTGATGGTGTGGTGCAGAGAGAACAATCTTTTTTTTTTTTATTGCTGCACCCCCTGAGGTAAAATTTAATTGTACGTGTTACAATGACAATAAAGGATTATCTTATATTATTTAAAATTCTTCTTAAAGCCTGCTCAAATACACAGACATGCCTCATGATCATCATTAAATTACATCTTCCTTTTACTGTTTATTTTGCTTGCCAGTTACTTTGACTTTTATTCCTTAGTAAAGTAAATAAACTGGCTGATGCTATTAAACAATGATAGTGGCACAGAGTTTTGACAGTTTCCATGTAAACAGCATTGAATTAGAAGCAGGATGTCATTGTTACCTCACTGTTCCTCTTCAGTAGCAGCAGCAGGTTGGCATTTCTTCCCTGCACACAAACACAATAAGTACTGTATGACCAAAACCCAGTAATGAATTCATATGCACATCTGCTAGTGTGTTTCATTGCATTTGTATATAATGTGTTTGTGAAAATCCCTGCTGTGCAGTATATATGAATGTGATTATGGACTGATGTATGGGCGTGCTGTAAAAATGCCAGTCAATATACAGCAGTCTTGCAGTTGTTGCATTACAAGGGGTTTGACAATTCTAGTAATGTTTTTCATCTGCAAAAAAAGACTAACTAAAGTGACTATTATAGAAAATGACATGGTTGAATTATCTCTGCATTGGATATTTAACTAGACAAATGCATTTCCTGTCTAAAATGCGTGTGGATGCTGATATGCTTAAGGATCACCCTGAAAATGCCTGAAATCAATTGCTGAAAGAGCTGAAGGATGACAAGAAATGGCTGAAGTTCTTTGATAAAATAGGTGAAGGTTGAGAAGAAATGGCTGAATGTCTTTGTTGAAATAGTTGAGAAGACATGGCCAAAGTTCTTTGTTGAATAATCTAAAGGATGAGATGCAATAAATACAAGCAGGAATTTCCTTGAAGAGCTGAACATTTTGATACCTGAATGGCTTTTCTACCTGAAAGTATGCTGAACTTATTAAAAATATTACAAAAGTGCCATGTCTCAATTGCACTTTTATGGACCACCAGATGGCACTCCAAGACTGTGACATTGAGCTGCAGCATTAGGATGGCTCAGCACTTTGAGTAGAATTTTGCCATTCATTTGAATGGGGCAAGATTTTCAAAATAAAGCTAAATATTTAAAAAGTATGAAGTTTAGAAAACATCTGAAGAGAAGCATGAATGTCCTTGAAGAGCTGAACATTTTAATAAATGAAATAGCTGAAGTAGAATTTTCCCATTCATTTGAATGGAGCAAGATTTTCAAAATAAAACTAAATATTTTAAAAGTATGAAGTTTAGAAAACTTCTGAAGAGACGCATGAATGTCCTTGAAGAGCTGAACATGTTGATACCTGAAATAGCTGAAAGTGTGCAGTATTAAAAATGTCCCCATTCATTTGAATAGGGCAAGATTTTCAAAATAAAGCTAGATGTTTCAAAGGTATAAGGTTTAGAAAAATAAATAATAGGATAACATAGTATGGATGCTGAATCAGCATCCATACAATAAAGACCAGGAAAACAAGGTATGGATCTTGACTGACTCAGCATCCATACAATAATAATAATAGGAAACAATTGGATAATATAGTATGGAGGCTGACTCAGCATCTATACAATAATAAGAATAATAAAGACCAGGATAACATAGTATGGATGCTGACTCAGGATCCATACAAAAAAGACCAAACATAGTATGGATGCTGACTCAGCATCCATACAATAAAGACCAGGATAACATAGTATGGATGCTGTGAAGCATCCATACAATAAAGAATAGGATAACATGGTGTGGGTGCTTCGCATCCACACAATAAAGAACAGGATAACATAGTGTGGATGCTTTACAGCATCCACACAAAGAACAGGAAAACATAGTGTGGATGCTTGTTAGCATCCACACAATGATGATTCTGGCCTCACCACATACTCCCTTCTTTAACTGCTGAACTCTCTTTGAACTTTGGCTCCATGCCCAGAATGAAATATTAAGAAAGATCAAGTACTTCTCATTTGTTCAGATAATAGAATTTACAAAGACTGTCCTGGTGGTTGGTTCAGAGAGAAGAGAAATGCTTTTGTCAAACAGCGTACTACAATGGTTTGGCTGTACTAAAACAGTCAAGAAACAATTATGTGCAGTCCAGTAGATGGATTTATGCAGGTTAAAAGACTACAACGGTTAGCATCTAGTACAGAACTACAACAGCAGCACCTAAAGGCAGCCCATTCATTTTCATCCACCACTGGATTGTTATATGACTGATGGTAGCCATTGGCAACGGGACCTGGCAGGAAGAGTCAAGAGGCTAATTCACTGGAGGGAAAGAAGCAGTTAAACTCATCTTAATGGCATCACTAATGTTGGAGAAAATATGCACCCCCACACATTGCCTCAGGTTCACAAGGGGGCATAGCAGCTTTAGAATCTAGAATAATTGGTTGCTGAGATGCTGACCTTCTTTAAAACACTGTCGGACTCTGTCCTGCGCAGATCTGCCACCATATCTTCGCTCTCGTCTAGGTCTCCACCTGACACAAAAGGAAACCACAGGAGAAAAGATGAACCTAGCAGCAAAGGATCTACATTCAACAACAGCGTCACTGCACTAGAAATTTGGAACAGGAGCACAATAAACAAAGAATAATCTTACAAGCTGCAGTTGTATCTTTAAAATAAAATACATTTAATGTCAAGATGATGGTGATAAAGTTATTTTAGATATAAAAGATATATTTTATATATAACAATGTGGTCAATAAGGCCATGTTCACACTGCAGGCTGAAGTGGCTCAAATCCGATCTTTTTGCCCAAATGTGACCCATATCCGATTTCCTTATGACAGTGTGAACAGCACAAATCCAATTTTTTCAAATCCGGCCCAGGCCACTTTCATATGTGGTCCTAAATCGGATACATATCCGATGTTTTGCAATGCGACTTCAGTCTGAATTATTTCTTTATTTCGATTGCACATTAACTGGTACATCGCTACGCACATGCTATCACGAGCCGCATCCATTTTTATTTTCGCAAACACAGTATGCTGTGTCTGATGTCACGTCCTCTTCTGCGCACGTGGGTCACCTCAGGGCCGCATACCGTTCAGGCATGAGACAGATGGCAGTCGCATTTAAATGACAGTGTGAACAACAGCGCAAAAAAATCGGATTTCGGCAAAAAATCCAATCTGAGCATTAAGACCTGCAGTGTGAACGTAGTCTAAGTTCTCTTTGCTCTTGTGCTTTTCCAGAAACCTGTCAAAGCATGCCCAGTGGAGTCTACAATATGAGAGCAGAGGAGCGTCACTGTTTGCATAATAAACACTGATTAGCATCAGAAGTGATAACAGGTTCTATAGGAACATCAGTGCCAGGTAGATGTTGGGTGCAAATGTTTTATTTGATGTAAACATTAGTTGATAACAGCTGTGAATTATAACAAGTGACATAATAAAGAGGTGCAAGAACTGCAGCCTCAGGTCACTGCCACATCAGCAACCACCAACGGGACAGAAGTCAGTCATGTTTTCAGAAACACTGGTTTTCAACCCTCGTTACCTGATGGATAGGTAAAACTAAAAAGTTGAAGATATATTTCTGACAAGGTTTTAAAGGTTTTCTGTTTAACAGTACACATTCTGTGCAAGCTGATCACAGTAAATACAGGACATACACTCACTGGCCACTTTATTAGGTACACTTGTACAATTGTATGCACTTCATTGCAACACTTCCACCTTATCATTTGTGTATATGAAGCTCAAAATGTTTCAGTTTTTGGTGAAATTGTCATAAATGTATAAATTCAATTGTATGTTTATTATCGATGTCATGGTTAAAGGTGGTGTTGCACTGGGCTACATTATATTCAGAGGTGTTCCTAATATTATGACCCTCTAATGTATGTAGCTGGGGAGGACAAAAATATAGACACCAGATAATGTGACTTCATGTTTTTGATGTTACATTTTGATACTACTCTGGTTTCTTTAGATGTTTAAAAAGCATTTGATAGTTTAGTGTTGTGACATTCTCTGACAATTTCAGGTATTGGAAAGCACAGACTTACAGTAAAGATAAGATGGGTGAGCTGTGAGTTGTCACACGACAATGAGCTTTTGTATGGCCTGTAACTATAAAGTCAGTTTTGATGCCTGCAACAACCTATCGTTTGACCATTTTGGACTGATGCCATCTTTATCATTCTCATGTCAACCTGCTCTTTCACTGCTCTGTCTGTAAAATTAATGGTTCTGAACTGTGCTCTGCACCACAGTCTGAAGATTTTTTGAGTCACTAAATCAAAAGAGAAAGATTTGCTAGCCTACATTTTTGTACTGTTTGTATAGATGTTAAATATGATACCTCATCTGGAAATGATACATTACTGTTTTGTTTATTCATTTATCAAACTACTATTATTAAACTACAATTATTTGCTTATTGTTTTCCTTTCCTTTCTATTTGTATCGCCCCAGGCCACGTCTTCCCCAGGAAGCTTCAGCTCTGCTGTCCAAGTCTCTCTCTAAAATTATTTATCTAATGTAACTGCACTGAACAGGGACATTGTGGGAAGAACCATATATGGTGGCTGCTATTATGTGGCCACTAAAAATTTTAGGATGAAAGTTAAATATTCTACTTTTCAAACTATCAGGCTTTCAGCAGTTTTAATACACATATCCAGTCCAGCCACTGAGTCTTTTCAGTTATGTGGACCAGCATGTGCAGATTGTACTGTTACAGACTTCTAACATGTAGTTTGCCTGACTACTACGCTCCATAAAGAAACAACAGGCACCCAGAGCAGTAGACTCACTCTTACTGTTGTGCATCTGGTGACTGTCGAATCCTCCGAAGGTCTCAGCACGACGGGGCAAAGACACAGGTCCTGTGCCTCCTCCCCCCTGGACACTGGCCATTGCCCCGCCCAGGCTATGATTCACAAGCTCCTGTAATGTCTCCACTGTCGCATGCACGCACACACACACACACACACACACACACACACACACACACACACACAT